ATAACCTTATAAATCTTCATCTTTGGCGATTTTAGATACTTTTTAATTTGATTACCCAAAACTTTTTCGTATTAATTTTAATAACAATTTCATATTTGTTATTGAAATCTTTCATACTTTATTCTATAATATGTGATAATTTGGTGATTCCAACTCGATTTTTAAAAAAGTTATGAATTTTTCTAATCTCAAACAACCAATTTTTAAACACTTAATGATTTAACCACATCTAACTTTTTACTTTTATTCTTAAAAACAATTTTGTACATTCCACCATAAGTTATACCCCTTTTAATGTAATTTCTGAAAATATCATGATTTCAACTTCATTTTTAACAAAACTATGAATTTTTATATCCTTATAAATCTTCATTTTTGGTGATTTTGGATACTTTTTAATTTGATCACCAAGAACTTTTTCGTATTGATTTTAATAACAATTTCATACTTGTTATTGAAATCTTCATACTTTATTCTATAATATGTGATAATTTGGTGATTCCAACTCAATTTTTAAAAAAGTTATGAATTTTCTATTCTCACACAATCAAATTTAAACAATTTATGATTTAACCACATTCAACTTTTTAATTTTATTCTTAACAACAATTTTGTACATTCCACCATAAATTATGCCCCTTTTAATGTAATTCCTGAAAGTATCGTGATTTCAACTTCATTTTTAACAAAGCTATGAATTTTTATAACCTTATAAATCTTCAGTTTTGCTGATTTTGGATACTTTTTAATTTGATCACCTAGAACTTTTTCGTATTAATTTTAATAACAATTTCATATTTGTTATTGAAATCTTCATACTTTATTCTATAATATGTGATAATTTGGTGATTCCAACTCGATTTTTAAGTAAGTTATGAATTTTCTAATCTCAAACAACCAATTTTTAAAAACTTTATGATTTAACCACATCTAACTTTTTAATTTTATTCTTAACAACAATCTTGCACATTCCATCATAAATTTTGCCCCTTTTAACGTAATCCCTGAAAGTATCGTGATTTCAACTTCATTTTTAACAAATCTATGAATTTTTATAATCATATAAATCTTAATTTTTGGTGATTTTGGATACTTTTTAATTTGATTACCTAGAACTTTTTCGTATTAATTTTAATAACAATTTCATATTTGTTATAAAAATCTTCAGACTTTATTCTATAATATGTGATAATTTGGTGATTTCAACTCAATTTTTAAAAGAGTTATGAATTTTCTAATCTCAAACAATCAATTTTTAAACACTTTATGATTTAACCACATCCAACTTTTTAATTTTATTCTTAACAACAATTTTGCACATTCCACCATAAATTATGCCCCTTTTAATGTAATTTCTGAAAATATCGTGATTTCAACTTCATTTTTAACAAAGCTATGAATTTTTATAACCTTATAAATCTTCATTTTTGGTGATTTTGGATACTTTTTAATTTGATCACCTAGAACTTTTTCGTATTAATTTTAGTAACAATTTCATATTTGTTATAAAAATCTTCATACTTTATTCTATAATATGTGATAATTTGGTGATTCCAACTCAATTTTTAAAAAAGTTATGAATTTTCTAATCTCAAACAACCAATTTTTAAACACTTTATGATTTAACCACATCCAACTTTTTAATTTTATTCTTAACAACAATTTAGCACATTCCACCATAAATTAAGCCCCTTTTAATGTAATTCCTGAAAATATCGTGATTTCAACTTCATTTTTAACAAAGCTATGAATTTTTATAACATTATAAATCTTCATTTTTGGTGATTTTGGATACTTTTTAATTTGATCACCCAAAACTTTTTCGTATTAATTTTAATAACAATTTCATATTTGTTATTGAAATCTTCATACTTTATTCTATAATATGTGATAATTTGGTGATTCCAACTCGATTTTTAAAAAAGTTATGAATTTTCTAATCTCAAACAACCAATTTTAAAACACTTTATGATTTAACCACATCCAACTTTTTAATCTTATTCTTAACAACAATTTTGCACATTCCACCATAAATTATACCCCTTTTAACATAATTCCTGAAAGTATCGTGATTTCAACTTCATTTTTAACAAAGCTATGAATTTTTATAACCTTATAAATCTTCATTTTTCGTGATTTTGGATACTTTTTAATTTGATCACCTAGAACTTTTTCGTATTAATTTTAATAACAATTTCATATTTATTATTAAAATCTTTATACTTTATTCTATAATATGTGATAATTTGGTGATTCCAACTCGATTTTTAAAAAAGTTGTGATTTTTCTAATCTTAAACAACCAATTTTTAAACACTTTATAATTTAACCACATCCAACTTTTTAATTTTATTCTTAACAACAATTATATACATTCCACCATAAATTATACCCCTTTTAACGTAATTCCTGAAAATATCGTGATTTCAACTTCATTTTTAACAAAGCTATGAATTTTTATAACCTTATAAATCTTCATTTTTGGTCATTTTGGATACTTTTTAATTTGATCACCTAGAACTTTTTCGTATTAATTTTAATAACAGTTTCATATTTGTTATTGAAATCTTCATACTTTATTCTATAATATGTGATAATTTAGTGGTTCCAACTCGATTTTTAAAAAAGTTATGAATTTTCTAATCTCAAACAATCAATTTTTAAACACTTTATAATTTAACCACATCCAACTTTTTAATTTTATTCTTAACAACAATTTTGCACATTCCTCCATAAACTATGCCCCTTTTAATGTAATTTCTGAAAATATCGTGATTTCAACTTTATTTTTAACAAAGCTATGAATTTTTATAACCTTATAAATCTTCAGTTTTGGTGATTTTGGATACTTTTTAATTTGATCACCCAGAACTTTTTCGTATTAATTTTAATAACAATTTCATATTTCTTATAAAAATATTCACACTTTATTCTATAATATGTGATAATTTGGTGATTCCAAATCGATTTTTAAAAAAATTATAAATTTTTGTAATCTCAAACAACCAATTTTTACACAATTTATGATTTAACCACGTCCAACTTTTTAATTTTATTCTTAACAACAATTTTGTACATTCCACCATAAACTATGCCCCTTTTAACGTAATTCCTGAAAGTATCGTGATTTTAATTTCATTTTTAACAAAGCTATGAATTTTTATAACGTTACAAATCTTCATTTTTGGTGATTTTGGATCCTTTTTAATTTGATTACCTAGAACTTTTTCGTATTAATTTTAATAATAATTTCATATTTGTTGTTGAAATCTTCATACTTTATTCTATAATATGTGATAATTTTGTGGTTCCAACTCGATTTTAAAAAAAGTTATATATTTTCTAATCTCAAATAACCAATTTTTAGACACTTTATGATTTAACCACATCCAACTTTTTAATTTTATTCTTAACAACAATTTTGTACATTCCACCATAAATTATGCCCCTTTTAATGTAATTTCTGAAAGTATCGTGATTTCAGCTTCATTTATAACAAAACTATGGATTTTAAAAACCTTATAAATCTTCATTTTTGGTGATTTTGGATATTTTTTAATTTGATCACCTAGAACTTTTTCGTATTAATTTTAATAACAATTTCATATTTGTTATTGAAATCTTCATACTTTATTCTATAATATGTGATAATTCGGTGATTCCAACTCGATTTTTAAAAAAGTTATGAATTTTCTAATCTCAAACAGCCAATTTTTAGACACTTTATAATTTAACCACATGCAACTTTTTAATTTTATTTTTAACAACAATTTTGCACATTCCACCATAAATCAGAAGTTGCTTAAAAGACCTAGCAAAGCAGCATCTACTAGGCTGCATCCAAAGACCTTGCCAAAATCCAAAAAAGGAGATCTCAAGAAGAAGCGTTGCAGTCTACATTTAATGTCCATTTATTTACGGAAATTCAAGCAATAACAGAGGAAATCGATTTCGGCGTCGTGTCAAAAAGTCAAAGGAAGTTGCAAAACGAACACTTGGGCAACTAGGAATGCTATCAGGAGCACAACAAGAAGATGTGGAGATATCATCGATGATTTTCCAGTAATGGCCGAGATAATATAATTCTTATAATGTCCAAGAAGTTGTTTGATACAGTTCGAACGGAAACTCCTGCTGACTCAGTACATTCCAAAAGTGTATCGAAATCACGTTAATAGAACTATGGATATATATATATATTGATATCTCAATTGGTTCTTGAGATACGATTTTCTTAATTCGTACAAGTAATGAATAACTTTATAGTGCGTAAAGAAACTAAATAGAATTCGTTGTTTTCCTCTCGAATCAAGTTTACTTAATAAAGTGTGAAAGCAAGGTTTTAAGATGTTTTCAAAATTGTTCTTTATTTTTTAAAGAAATATACAAAGCCGACGTAAACATCGACATAGACGAGCCATTCTTTTTAGTGTGCATTTAGGTTTCGTGCACGTGGTACGTGACACTATCGACGCGGAGATTATAAAAAGCATCTGTTCGGTGAGCACCCGGAAATGCCAAACAAGCAAAAGCAGGTGCTGTTAGCCCTCTAAAAGCGGCAAGTTCGCACGTGCCCGGCAGACTTCTTGCTAGAAATTTATGAATGAATTTCCTAGCTAGTTATAAATATAAGGAGAAACTGTAACTGAAGTGGCCTCATTTCAAAAAACTTGTTTCCGGACTAAATTTTCCGATCAAAACGTTGTTTCCATAAAATCAACTTCCGCGAAGCGTTCTATTAATAAAATAGGGGTAAAACAATCTTATTTAGTTTTTGGGTACTTTTTTTAGAAAGAAAATAACGATTTATCGGTGGTATAATAAAGGAATAGATGTTGTGGTAGTTTATAAACAATTCTCGAAAAACCCATTTCGTACGAAACGATTTTACCTTCGGTGTATTTTCGGTTGTTTGTTTACAGAAACCGTATACTGACGCTTTACACGATTTTCATTGGCAAAAATTAAACGAAAAAAATTAATTTTAAAAATTAAACTTACACTTTTATCCAATTAATACCATAAAAGAAGTCTTGGGCACCAACACAATGATTTTCTTTTTTTTTTCTTGATAATGATTGAGAAAGAATTAAATCACTTCAACTATCTCGTAATTAATTAAGCTTTGATTAAATTAAAAAGTCGCGTTAAGCTCAACTTTGTGTTGTAACACTCTCGATGAAAATACTGGGTGAAGTCCTGCGGTGTAACTGAGTTTAACTGACGGCGCTGCGTCTAAGTTACAGACTTAGAGAGACGTAAAAAGTAGTGGGGGCGTACTGAAACGGGGTTTTTTGATTTATGGCGGCAGCTGAAAAAAGTCGCGCCTTCAGAGATTTCAGGGGATCGTCTCTTCTCGGGTCTTTCAGTTCTATGTGTGCAGAAGGTGACCGTCTGCAGCACCTACGTACTGTTTGCATTCCTGAAACGGGTGCTACGGAAATAGCTCGCCTTTTACTTATATTGCTTCTTTTGCACATCGCGGGCCTCAGCTGGTCAGACGATGACTCGACCGAGATACAAGTTTATCTCCAATCTTCAAACTACAATGTAATTTTGATATCAACAGTACCTACATTTTTATACATTTTTATTCATAATTATGATGAATTTGAAGAGATTAGTCACTTTTTGATCTAACAAACCGGAAACGGAAGTTTCCAAATGGTTGCCATGAATCCTTTCTCGGCAGGATGTAAGAAATTGCGACTTTGAAACGTTTAGCTTTAACGCGTCGGTGCAGATCGAGCAAAACGTGTAATTTCTTGGTAACCAGACGTATCTTTGTATAGAGCAGTTGATGATTTTGACATTTATATAAAATGATTTTGATCAAAGATTAGTGGACACCACTGTTCTAAATCGATTAAACGTCAAAATTGTTGATGTTCGAAAATTAACTCAATCTTAACTCAAAAACTAAAAGCGATGGAGAAATATTTTTTATACATAAAACCTTAGTAATGGACCATAAAGACTAGATCCAGAAAAAGATTGAACCCAATTATTATCATGTTTTATTTATAAGCTCTAAATCGATTAAACATCAAAATTGTTGATTTTCGCAAATTAACTCAATGATAACTCAAAAACTAAAAGCGATGAGGAAATACTTTTTATACATAAAATCTTAGTAATGGGCCATAAAGACTAAATCCATATCAAGATTGAACCCAATTATTACCATTTTTTATTTATAAGCTTTAAATCGATTAAACATCAAAATTGTTGAAAATTAACTCAATTATAACTCAAAAACTAAAAGCGATGCAGAAATATTTTTTATACATAAAACCTTAGTAATGGACCATAAAGGCTAGATCCATAAAAAGATTGAACACAATTATTACCATGTTTTATTTATAAGCTCTAAATTGATTAAACATCAAAATTGTTGAAAATTAACTCAATCATAACTCAAAAACTAAAAGCGATGGGGAAATACTTTTTATACATAAAACCTTAGTAATGGGCCATAAAGACTAGATCCATAACAAGATTGAACCCAATTATTACCATTTTTTATTTATAAGCTCTAAATCGATTAAACATCAAAATTGTTGATTTTCGAAAATTAACTCAATTATAACTTAAAAACTAAAAGCGATGGAGAAATATTTTTTATACATAAAACCTTAGTAATGGGCCATAAAGACTAAATCCATAAAAAGATTGAACCCAATTATTACCATGTTTTATTTATAAGCTCTAAATTGATTAAACATCAAAATTGTTGAAAATTAACTCAATTATAACTCAAAAACTAAAAGCGATGGGGAAATACTTTTTATACATAAAAACTTAGTAATGGGCCATAAAGGCTAAATCCATAACAAGATTGAACCGAATTATTACCATGTTTTATTTATAAGCTCTAAATCGATTAAACATCAAAATTGTTAATTTTCGAAAATTAACTCAATTATAACTCAAAAACTAAAAGCGATGGGGAAATACTTTTAATACATAAAAACTTAGTAATGGGTCATAAAGACTAGATCCATAAAAAGATTGAACCCAATTATTACCATGTAGTAAAAGCGATGGGGAAATACTTTTTATACATAAAACCTTAGTAATGGGCCATAAAGACTAAATCCATAACAAGATTGAACCCAATTACTACCATGTTTTATTTATAAGCTCTAAATTGATTAAACATCAAAATTGTTGAAAATTAACTCAATCATAACACAAAAACTAAAAGCGATGGAGAAATACTTTTTATACATAAAACCTTAGTAATGGACCATAAAGACTAAATCCATAACGAGATTGAACCCAATTATTACTATTTTTTATTTATAAGCTCTAAATTGATTAAAATCAAAATTGTTGATTTTCGAAAATTAACTCAATGATAACTCAAAAANTAGTGGACGCCATTGGTATAAAGAAATTAAAAAAAATTGAGATGACAAAACGAAAATTCCTACAAATGTTTTGGCCAAGTCGAAATCATTTTGATTAAAATCCCCTCAAAAAAGATTAAAAAGGAATTAATGTACCGTTACGATGTTGTTTACCGCGTCACATTCCCTTTTACCAGATTCTCCTTAGCACCCGTCTCGAGAATAGAAAGAATTAGATGGTCCTGTCGAACATTGGACCACTTCTTTTCGAAGGGAAAAGACATCTGGCAAGCAAGTGCGCAAATAAATCAATCACTTTCAAAGACGTTTTGAATGTCTCAAAATGACAGATACTAAATTTTTAACGTGGATTTAAAATACGGTTAGATTTAATAATTAAATTTTTTTTTAATGATAGGCGATAAAAATTTAATCATTATTTAATTAGTTATAATTATAAATTAATGTTACAGACTTTGAAATTCGATCGTAAAGAAGCAAAACTATTTCATTGGAGTTTGTAACTAGATACTGGAAACTAGATAATGCAATCATCGACTAGAAATTAAAATCTACCGCTGAATACGAGAATCATCACCTCCTATATGTTCTTAATGTGGGGCATATTTAATTTTTTCGATATTCCATATAGTTTCGCAGAAAATCGCGGTTTAGTAGAATGCGGTTATTTCGAAAATTAAAATAAAGAGGAACAGAAATAAGTTATGCGGGGAGAGGAGGGTTCTGTCCAATCGGAACAGATGTTGCGTCCCAGACAGTACGTCGCGCCTTTATCTTACCTACATAAAGAAATAAGGCGCGACGTCCTGTCTGGAACGCACCATCTGTTCCGATTGGACGGAACTCCCGTCACCCCGCTGAGCTTATTTACACCCCTTTGTACGTCCCCACAATTTATTGTTCAATCAAGGGTCAGAAAACCAGCCCAATTTTTTTCATGAACGTTAATATAGAACAGAAAGGTATGTTCCTTATATCCTCCAGCCTTCTTTGATCCATCAGTGTAGATGGTCAGCGTTTTGCCCGAGCTTGAGTTGCTCTGGGGTATCTTTTCAATGCCAAAGTGTGGCTTGCCTAAGAAAGTAGGTGTAATGTAGTCTGTGCGAGCTTTAAGGAGGGGTTGTTTACTAACAGCCTCACTCCAGAACTTGCTCCGGACTATTTCCATTTTAACAACCTGCTTTTCATTTACTGATCATCACAGCCACCTCCCTGATAAAAATATCTAGGGGCAACACGTTTAGCATAGTCTCCATCGCAATCGTAGGTGTAGATCTCATAGCGCCTGTGATTAGTAGGCAGGCCAGTCGTTGCAATTGATGCAGCAATTTAGCTTTATATGCATGTTTTAGTGCTGAGCACCAAATTATGGCTCCGTGAGCTAACATGGGTCTTATCACAGAAGTGTAGTGTTTTGCAACTAATGTGTATTGTTCAAGTTAGTCCTTTGTCCAAGATAACATCCAGATATTTCACCTCTGGAAACAGAAATTGGGTGTCTTTTTAGGATTGACAGAGAGAGTATGTTCTTCACACCATCGTTCAATAAGTTTAAGCGGTTGCTGCATTCTATAACAAAGAAAATTGTCAGGTTTACCTCTTAACAAAATATTTATTATTTAACTCACGAATGAGATCACCAGTTACCCCGCCTTGTGGACAACTCTTAACCACAACTCTCTGTACTGTGTGTCCTTGCGCCTTAGCCTAAACAACTCTGCTTGCTAGCATTGTTTTTATCCAGCCCGCGATGACCAGTGGCACTCTTCGAGATTCCAGTGCCAGGTTAATACTACTAAAGGTGGTTATGTCAAGGAAAGTTACTACCATGTGTAGGGTGCTATCCACAGATTTACCTTCCTCTCTCCTTCACAATTCTCTTAGGACATGCACTGTGGAAGGCCTGAGTTAGTACGAGGTTTGAGTAATTCTCCAATTCATCGGTATTACCAGGAACGGCATCTGGAAAATTTTGCAATTCCTCATTTAGACAGCTTGCAAAATGCTCAAGTCAGTTCGCTTTGGATCCGGGACCCTCTTTTTCAAGAGCATAATTGGTCCTAAATCAAAAGTGGTCCATCTATGGTCAGACATAGACGCCTCCTGGCAGACACACCAGTTGCTAATCTTTTGGGATACGTTCGCTGATGTCAAGGTCAAATCAATAATCGTCTGATACCTAGCATTGATTAGGTTCGCCGCCTTGGTTGATTATTTCCAAGTCATTATTTGTAATAAATTGAAGCAAGGTCTTACTTAAGCTTAGGTCTTATAATGAGTAACCATTTATTTACCTTGCTGGCGTTGACTAATGTTGTCAAGGCCGCAGTAGGAGCCATCTCTTCTATAGGCAGGTAGACAGATGCTAGAGTCAGCGTCGTTTTCTTCTTCGCTAGGAAACATTTAATCCTGACTACAACGGAGTCCCCGGATTTGATTCTTCCGGCAGGAGATACGCGGAGATATGTCTAGGAACGTAGATTGCAGCTCTCGGTCGATCCTGAGTACTGAAAAAGAAAACAGAACCGCTAAGAGAACCGAATCATAATACTGGGTGGAACTTGCATTGTATTACCCTTAAAGTCGCAGGGTCTTCTCCAAACTCCTCTCTAGGCATCTGGATTCGGGGAGCAGGTGGAAGTCATCAACAGATCCAGTGATCATGGACGCAGAAACTGCCTCCAATCTAACCAAGGGAGCTACTGAACTGGACTGCTCAGCCCCGGTCGTCTCGGTCTTGATCGGTTCACTCGAGTGAATATGGTACTAAGCAAAATTCTTCTCAGAGTGTAGCAAGCATCGGTTTGCAACCTCTAAGTGAGGGTTTTGTTTGTTCAAGACGGCGATTGTCTCCCGGACATCCGCAAGCATATTAATTGATTTTCGAATTGTATTTTGCTGTGATGACCATGATAGTGATTAACTTTTATTCTTGCAACTGTGTTGCACTCTGGATTAGTAGGAAGATGTTTAAGAGACTCATACAATGAGTTTTCCAATACTCTTGAATATTTTTCATGATCTGTCAATGTCAAACGTCTGGGTGGGTTAACATTTTTATCACGATAACGTTCCTACTTTTGCAACGGCGATAAATTTAAATAAAATATACTTTTCTGCATCATCATGTAGTTATGAAACTAAATTATACGAACTCATTAATGTAAATAAAAAGATTTGTAGGAGAGAAGGAATGTGATACTGAAAAACGGATAGAGACTATTTGAACTATTAAAAAAATGGTTCACAAATTTATGAAAAAAATTTAAGGTTGTAAAAGTTGATAGAAATTTCGATGAATTTAAAACAGCTACTTTTTTTTTACTTCAAAACGGATTGTTTCCTTGAAAAGATCATACTTACATTAATAATCGGTGATATTTTCATAAAGATTTTCCAATGATTCGATTTTTCAGAAATTAATGAAAAAGATTTGAAATTGTAAAAATTGATCGAAATTTCGATCGACTTAAACAGCTATTTTTCAAGACATAAAAGTGACTTTTCAAAACAAACGGTGTCATTAAAAAGCTCGTACTTTCATTAATAATCGGTGATATTTTCATAAAGATTTTCCAATGATTCGATTTTTCAGAAATTAATGAAAAAGATTAAAAATTGATCGAAATTTCGATCGACTTTAAACAGCTATTTTTCAAGACATAAAAGTGATTTTTCAAAACGAACGGTTTCATTAAAAAGCTCATACTTTCATTAATAATCGGTGATATTTTCATAAAGATTTTCCAATGATTCGATTTTTCAGAAAATAATGAAAAAGATATAACATTGTAAAGGTCAAATTTAAATGACTATTTTTCAAGAACTAAAAGTGATACTTCTTATCACTTATAACTTACTTCTTATTTATAATTGGTACAATTCTCATAAAGATTTTCCAACGATTCAATTTTTCACAAGACTCTTGAATAAATTAAAAAAGAAACAGAAAGAATTTTTAATAGGTCAAAACTTACCATTTAAATAAGTTTTTATTACTTTTTACCTATTTTAGGTTCATTATTATTCATATTTGAACGTGGCGCCATTCCTATTTAAGAAAATAATAAAATAATTGTTTGTTTTAATCATTGTATTCTATTTCAAGAATTCAAAATAATAACTTAAAGGTCGCCTTATTCATAATTAATTTCGACGCAACAATCAGACATTATTGCATTATAATAGTTTAAATCTCGTTTTTTTTTGTTGTTTCGTTTCGAAACGCGATTAATTCCTGCTGCGTACTGCGCAGGAACGTTTTCGTTTCCAGGGACACCTCACATATCTGTCCAAGACGAGTTTTACGTAAATTTTTCACTTTCACTTATTTTAACCAACTCTCTTTCGCCTCTACTCTAGTTTAACTATAACGTTCGTTTGAGAAAGAGTAATTTTTTCAGATTAATTTTTTCATGGAAAATTTGAAACGGTGAAGTGTCACTGGTTTTCCCCGGCTCGTTTCCCTCTTATCCGGAAAAACCGACAGTGTTTCATCGACCAGCACACGAGAAGTACAAAGTTGAAGAGGTAAAATAAAAAAATAAAAAATGAGTGGAATTGATAGTATTATTAATTATAAAAAGAGTGAGAAAGAAGATTACTATGGGATTATGGGTTGTAGTGAAGATTCAACGGTAAATTAATTTGAATTAATTTAAACAAATTTATAAGCTATTTCATTATTGTTATAGGTGGAGCAAATCCAAGCTGAGTACAAAATCAAAGCTCTTCAATTACACCCAGATAAAAACAAAGGCGATAAAGAGGCTGAGGCTAAATTCCAACTGCTAAAGGTAAAAATGTTTAGCTTTTATTTTTTTTTTTGGTAATAAAAATTAATTTTGTTAACGATGACCTAGTTTTAGTTGATGTTTAACCGACCGGAAAACGTGTCTTTGGTTAGGTTCCTTGATTCGTCGCCCACTATAAATGTAATATATCCTGGACGAGTATCGATCGAAAATGTAACAGGTCAACGCGTTTGCCATTTAGAGGTCCAGGGGCTATCGCTTTGTATATCATTATTATTTTTTTCTTTGTTCATTCCATATTTAATAACGTCAATTTAGAAATGTTGAGTCGAAATAAATCTACTTTTAAGTATTTTCTTTTCCAATATTAATTTTTTAATATTCGAATCTTCTTCTCATCTCTGTCTTGATTTTATTCCTCCAATTTCAAGATCAATGATGTTATCGGAATGTATCAAAAACTTCCAAAATCCTCGCCATTTCATCCATCATTATCATCACTTTTCTTCCCCAAAAGTTGCTATATAAAAAATATAAGACGCTGGATTGATTAAGTCAATGAAAACGTTTAATTCGAAAAGCGATGAGTCATGATCGGGGTTTTACAATAAAGGTTAGAGCAGTAATTTAACAAGATTGGACTCTCTTTATCGTGTCCACTTCTACAAAGAACAACATGTGGAAATCGGCAATATCACAATAGCTAATATTAACAAACTTTTTGCTCACAGCCTGCTCACGTGCGTAATTCCTACGAAGACCCAGCAAATTTGGGAATTTGGGGAATATGTTTAACTCATAATAGGGTACGTTTTGACCCTATTTGTGCTTTCAATTACATACATTTTGCTACAATTTTACACTTACATATTTTTTACCACAATTTTTACTTATTATATCTTGTAAATATTAATTTTGGACAAATTTGGCCATCATATATCACCCTCATCAAAGACAATCCTTCATGATCTTGGTATATAATTGTAGCCGAGGTCGTTTGCGCCCGAGACAGAATGTTTGAAACCAGTTTTACTTATTATATCTTCTAAATATTAATTTTAGACAATCTTGGCCTTCATATATCACACTCTTCAAAGACAATCTTTCATGATCTNAAAAGCTCGTACTTTCATTAATAATCGGTGATATTTTCATAAAGATTTTCCAATGATTCGATTTTTCAGAAATTAATGAAAAAGATTTAAAATTGTATCAATTGATCGAAATTTCGATCGACTTTAAACAGCTATTTTTCAAGACATAAAAGTGATTTTTCAAAACGAACGGTTTCATTGAAAAGCTCGTACTTTCATTAATAATCGGTGATATTTTCATAAAGATTTTCCAATGATTCGATTTTTCAGAAATTAATGAAAAAGATTTAAAATTGATCGAAATTTCGATCGACTTTAAACAGCTATTTTTCAAGACATAAAAGTGATTTTTCAAAACGAACGGTTTCATTAAAAAGCTCATACTTTCATTAATAATCGGTGATATTTTCATAAAGATTTTCCAATGATTCGATTTTTCAGAAAATAATGAAAAAGATATAACATTGTAAAGGTCAAATTTAAATGACTATTTTTCAAGAACTAAAAGTGATACTTCTTATCACTTATAACTTACTTCTTATTTATAATTGGTACAATTCTCATAAAGATTTTCCAACGATTCGATTTTTCACAACACTCTTGAATAAATTAAAAAAGAAACAGAAAGAATTTTTAATAGGTCAAAACTTACCATTTAAATAAGTTTTTATTACTTTTTACCTATTTTAGGTTCATTATTATTCATATTTGAACGTGGCGCCATTCCTATTTAAGAAAATAATAAAATAATTGTTTGTTTTAATCATTGTATTCTATTTCAAGAATTCAAAATAATAACTTAAAGGTCGCCTTATTCATAATTAATTTCGACGCAACAATCAGACATTATTGCATTATAATAGTTTAAATCTCGTTTTTTTTTGTTGTTTCGTTTCGAAACGCGATTAATTCCTGCTGCGTACTGCGCAGGAACGTTTTCGTTTCCAGGGACACCTCACATATCTGTCCAAGACGAGTTTTACGTAAATTTTTCACTTTCACTTATTTTAACCAACTCTCTTTCGCCTCTACTCTAGTTTAACTATAACGTTCGTTTGAGAAAGAGTAATTTTTTCAGATTAATTTTTTCATGGAAAATTTGAAACGGTGAAGTGTCACTGGTTTTCCCCGGCTCGTTTCCCTCTTATCCGGAAAAACCGACAGTGTTTCATCGACCAGCACACGAGAAGTACAAAGTTGAAGAGGTAAAATAAAAAAATAAAAAATGAGTGGAATTGATAGTATTATTAATTATAAAAAGAGTGAGAAAGAAGATTACTATGGGATTATGGGTTGTAGTGAAGATTCAACGGTAAATTAATTTGAATTAATTTAAACAAATTTATAAGCTATTTCATTATTGTTATAGGTGGAGCAAATCCAAGCTGAGTACAAAATCAAAGCTCTTCAATTACACCCAGATAAAAACAAAGGCGATAAAGAGGCTGAGGCTAAATTCCAACTGCTAAAGGTAAAAATGTTTAGCTTTTATTTTTTTTTTTGGTAATAAAAATTAATTTTGTTAACGATGACCTAGTTTTAGTTGATGTTTAACCGACCGGAAAACGTGTCTTTGGTTAGGTTCCTTGATTCGTCGCCCACTATAAATGTAATATATCCTGGACGAGTATCGATCGAAAATGTAACAGGTCAACGCGTTTGCCATTTAGAGGTCCAGGGGCTATCGCTTTGTATATCATTATTATTTTTTTCTTTGTTCATTCCATATTTAATAACGTCAATTTAGAAATGTTGAGTCGAAATAAATCTACTTTTAAGTATTTTCTTTTCCAATATTAATTTTTTAATATTCGAATCTTCTTCTCATCTCTGTCTTGATTTTATTCCTCCAATTTCAAGATCAATGATGTTATCGGAATGTATCAAAAACTTCCAAAATCAAAATAAGTCGATGCATTACTTTGCCATCACCTCGCCATTTCATCCATCATTATCATCACTTTTCTTCCCCAAAAGTTGCTATATAAAAAATATAAGACGCTGGATTGATTAAGTCAATGAAAACGTTTAATTCGAAAAGCGATGAGTCATGATCGGGGTTTTACAATAAAGGTTAGAGCAGTAATTTAACAAGATTGGACTCTCTTTATCGTGTCCACTTCTACAAAGAACAACATGTGGAAATCGGCAATATCACAATAGCTAATATTAACAAACTTTTTGCTCACAGCCTGCTCACGTGCGTAATTCCTACGAAGACCCAGCAAATTTGGGAATTTGGGGAATATGTTTAACTCATAATAGGGTACGTCTTGACCCTATTTGTACTTTCAATTACATACATTTTGCTACAATTTTACACTTACATATTTTTTACCACAATTTTTACTTATTATATCTTGTAAATATTAATTTTGGACAAATTTGGCCATCATATATCACCCTCATCAAAGACAATCCTTCATGATCTTGGTATATAATTGTAGCCGAGGTCGTTTGCGCCCGAGACAGAATGTTTGAAACCAGTTTTACTTATTATATCTTCTAAATATTAATTTTAGACAATCTTGGCCTTCATATATCACATTCAGTAAAGATAATCCTTGATGATATTGGCATATAATCGTAGTCGAGTTCGTTTGCTGCCGAGGCAGAATATTTAACACCAGTTTTACATATTATATCTTGTAAATATTAATTTTAGACAATTTTGGCCATCCTACATCACCCTCATCAAAGACAATCCTTCATGATCTTGGCATATAATTGTAGCCGAGGTCGTTTGCAGCCGAGGCAGAATATTTGAAACCAGTTTTATTTATTATATCTTCTAAATATTAATTTTAGACAATCTTGGCCATCATATATCACTCTCATCAAAGACAATCCTCATGATCTTGGTATATAATTGTAGCCGTGGTCGCTTGCAGCCGAGGCAGAATATTTGAAACCAGTTTTACTTATTATATCTTCTAAATATTAATTTTAGACAATCTTGGCCTTCATATATCACACTCAGTAAAGGTAATCCTTTATGATGTTGGCATATAATCGTAGTCGAGCTCGTTTGCTGCCGAGGCAGAATATTTGAAACTAGTTTTATTTATTATATCTTCTAAATATTAATTTTAGACAATCTTGGCCATCATATATCACACTCATCAAAGACAATCCTTCATGATCTTGGCATATAATCGTAGCCGAGGTCGCTTGCGGCCGAAGCAGAATGTTTAAAACCAGTTTTACTTATTATATCTTCTAAATATTAATTTTAGACAATCTTGGCCATCATATATCACACTCATCAAAGACAATCCTTCATGATCTTGGCATATAATCGTAGCCGAGGTCGCTTGCGGCCGAAGCAGAATGTTTAAAACCAGTTTTACTTATTATATCTTCTAAATATTAATTTTAGACAATCTTGGCCATCATATATCACACTCATCAAAGACAATCCTTCATGATCTTGGCATATAATCGTAGCCGAGGTCGCTTGCGGCCGAAGCAGAATGTTTAAAACCAGTTTTACTTATTATATCTTCTAAATATTAATTTTAGACAATCTTGGCCATCATATATCACACTCATCAAAGACAATCCTTCATGATCTTGGCATATAATCGTAGCCGAGGTCGCTTGCGGCCGAAGCAGAATGTTTAAAACCAGTTTTACTTATTATATCTTCTAAATATTAATTTTAGACAATCTTGGCCATCATATATCACACTCATCAAAGACAATCCTTCATGATCTTGGCATATAATCGTAGCCGAGGTCGCTTGCGGCCGAAGCAGAATGTTTAAAACCAGTTTTACTTATTATATCTTCTAAATATTAATTTTAGACAATCTTGGCCATCATATATCACACTCATCAAAGACAATCCTTCATGATCTTGGCATATAATCGTAGCCGAGGTCGCTTGCGGCCGAAGCAGAATGTTTAAAACCAGTTTTACTTATTATATCTTCTAAATATTAATTT